TGCGATTTATGGCATTCATTACTTTCCTTACAAACTTGAGAACATTTGTATCAGGTTGCATTCCGTTTCTCTAAATCTGGAAGAACCATATTTCAACCTACATTGCACAGTCAGAACAGAAATTCCCACTGCCTGAAATAAGAGAGGACGTGGACTGAAAAGCAGTGGATATTCCTATTTGATTATCTCATGAAAAGACAAGTGTTCAGATCTTGTTCTTCATTGAGAAAATGGGTGCATCAGTTGATTCTTCATTAGGAAAAGTTGCTTCAGAAGATTTCAAACTCCAATTAACAACAGAAACCTGAGAGAGATGTAATGTAAGGAAATTCCGATTTCAATGGATTTGGTTCCTTGGTTATAGACCAAGTGTCCCCTGGGCTGATGGAGGAAGAGGCCCATAGAGACTCAGAGCAGTTTTATGGGGTTATAGCTATGCTCACTTGGACGTTGAGAGTGCTGAAAAGCAAAGGAGGAATCACTGCAAAGGAGAGCACAAGCAAACAGTGATTAATCACTGACATTCTTTGGGTTGCTGTTCGGGGTTTGGGGTTTTGTTAATTGGGGTTTTCTAATTGGGGTGGCACTGCAGTAATTTGTCCTTCGCTTGCCCTTTCTATAGTGCTCTTGGAAAATTGCTTCAGCAATCTTCACACCACCTGAATGAAGTTGACCTACGCAATGTTATTGTTATTATCCTCATTTAGAAGGCTGAGACTTTAGTCTGAGATTAAATGATTTGCCTAAGGCTGAAGGAGTTATTTTTACCTTTTTGGTACCCTAACCTGTCTTCAGATTTATTACAGCAGATCTTTCATGTCTGCTTTCAGAGATGCATATTGCAGAACAGATGCATAACCTTTTTAAAGAGATTTCTCTTTTAAACAGCTTTATAACACCATTGTTTATAGGAAAGGATTGAGAGAGCCAGGCTATTACTTATCTCACTCCCCCTGAAACATGGAGAAAATTTGATAACAATAAATGATCCTAATTATGCTTTCTGGTCACTATCCTCGTATTTCCTGGCACACATGAAATTGTTATCCTTCATACATATCATAAACAGGCAGAAATTAAGCTACCAAAAAACCACAACACCTCTTGATTCTTATCTGACATAAAATGTTAACTTCATGCCCTTCAAGATGAGATTTATGTTTTCCAAAGGAACTCAAACAACTCCTCTGTGGTCCCTTCATTTGCTTTGGCAACGGATACTTCAGAGTTACTTTTGCATTTTCCTTTGGTTCAAATAAAGTAAATTACATTGGGAGAGCTAGAAAAGATTGCATTTGTTTAGTTGGATGATAAACTCGGCATCACAGACCTCTCACAAGCAAGAAGGGGGAGCTGGCTATTGGGAAGCTGAATAAGATATGATGTGGTTGTGGCTGTGCACAGAAGAGAAGCAGAGTACCCTCTGCCTTGAAGGCTGTTCTCAGCACATGGATTAAAATGCATCTGGTCATCTTGAAGATACTGCACTTCTTCTGGATGTGCTTAAGTTATTTCTTTCAAAAAGGAAGGAGAGTGACTACAGTGCAGCTAGATGCAAACAGGACTTGTTCCGTCAGTCCTGTGCTCCCATCTGCTTCAAACTCCACCCAACAACATCCCTTTTTAGGATAAAGAGCTGCAAAACTGAATTGTGCCACCTGAAGACTCCTTGAAGTAGTAAAGAAACCCATTGTGCACTATTGAGAAGCATCAGGCCAGGCCTGACTGCTTGGTTTGTAAAGCTCAGGTTTGAATGTTTCTCTTCTGGGCATCAAAAACCAACTCTCACCTCTTTCAAGAATGGTCAGTGCTCAACTATGACAAGTTCTCATTGCAGCCTGTGGAATTGAAACTTCCCTTTTTGCATCACTATATAATTGTGTGAATATTTGTCTCTTCTTGTTTTCTCTAATCCATCGTGTGACCAAGCACACATGAGCTATGTGCCGCAGCCTCAGCTTTCAGTTGTTTCCACTGACACCAAAGATGATTGATGGTAAAACTTTAAACCTCATATGTTAGCCACCAACCTGAGTAAACAAAGAGCACTGTGGCAGCTTAATATTAAAAGCTATAAAAAACCTTCCTGGGGGTTCCTGGATTAAATCAACTCACCAAAATGGATTTTCAAATAAAAAGAGAAGCTTTCTCAGGACTGAAGCAAAACGAACGCAACAGTAAATGAAATAGAGCTATCCCCATCCAGCAGGCTAAAGCCCTCCTGAGGGCTGAAGAATGGCAATTTTCAACGTCTCTCAAGAGTGCAAGAGGAGACACACTATTTGTGGATCCTCGGGAGGCAGCTTGAGGCTATAAAAGAACAAAAAAGCCTTTAAGGCACCAAAAAAATAGAGAGAAATCCCTACAGACCCAGCTTTCATTGGTCAAAAATAAGTGTTAAAAACTCCCCATTCAAATTAGTACACATTAGCCCCCTATATATTATTTTTCAGTTATAAGAAGTGATTTAGGGTTTTGCCATGCACTATTTTAATCTCTTGGGTCAATAAACCTTGGTAGTAACTTCAGCCAAAAACACCAGCATGCTGTTGATCATAATGTGACAGGAAACAGCTGGGATCTTATTTTCATCTTATTGTGATCCAATGATTAGTGAGCACAGTGGAAAGTAACGTGTTTGTCTTAGCAAACAAACAAATCGCACTTGTATCCCAAGGTGCATTTCTTCTCTGTGAAATAGAGGAAGAAATCAGCTCCAAGCAACACTTCAGCCACCAATTGTTTCTCATTCTCTCCCTCCATTTTCAGCCGACCCAGTAACATACTTCAAAGCACAGTAAGTATTTCTTCCTGACTTTCCAAGAAACACCTTTATCAAATGGGAACAATCCCTGTGCTCCTTTGCGGAGTTAATAGTGAACGTGGTCATGGAAGCATGAGGTTAGAGGACACTTGCAGATTAAACTGTTAAAACCAGTAACCTGGTTGAAAAAAGACTGATGCACAATTAGAGCTGTATTATTTCAGTCCCAGAGCTGTAGTAAAGTTTGTGCTGCATGTGCTTAGGATGAAACTTGCTTGACTTTCATCTAGGTAAAACTGGAATTAGGGGCTCTTGCTGTGTGCCTGGCACCTGAGGAAGCTGGCATCAGTCCCCGATGCTCCGTAGGCATGGCTAGGTTGCAGTGTCGGGAGTTAGAGTCCAGGCTCAGCTCCTGACATCCACACTGTTTGAGTGCAAGTGAGGTAGGGTTTCTGTGCTGGTTGTGCCACCCCAACATATTGCCAAAGTGATCACGCAGATCCTCTTGCTCATGAAATAGATCTTTATTATTCAAACTGTGGGAAATAGAGGCATTTTGCTTTTTCTAGCTGCCTCTTTCTGCTCCCATCTCACCAAAAGCAAATGTAACGTGTTGAATTAACTGAAATATACATTTCTGCTCTATCAAGGTCCCCACCCAAATGAGCTGTTGGCTCAGAAAATATTTATCCTGGCAAAGCACCTATGCATAACTTTGTGAGCCTTTATAGAAATGGTAGCGTGAATTTATTGGAGTAACTTTCAAACCCATAAATTCTGATCACAAGCTTCTATACAGGCCGAGTTCAAACAAGGTTTCCTGTCTCACCATCTCTTTTTTTTCTATAGATTTACATAGTGGCAACACTCACTTGCAGTTCACAAGGAAAGCCTCTAATTGCCTATTTGCATAGAGATGTGGAGATTTGTGCAGCCTGTCGGAATGACTCATAGAACTTTCCTCAAGTTTCATCAGATTGTTTTATTCCTTTTGTATTGATAATTGTGTTATGCATAATGCAGATTTTGGCACAACCTGCTTTTTACCATGAGCTGGTTCTTGGCACGGCTCACGCTGAACTTGCTGGGCGCTTCTCACGTGTCTCAGCGCGTGCGCTCCTCGCGAGCCGGGAGCTGGAGCTCGGGACTCGTGGCTTCTTCAGCTGGAGGGCTGAGGTTTTGATTTGTGGTTGCAATGGTAGATTTAAGCAATTTGGTAACTAAAACAAAATTAGCACAAAATGGCGTTGGTGTGTAAACCATTGGGAAAATAGATTCAGTTTGAAAGTTTAAAGATAGTTTATAAGTTAATCTGATATTGAATCTCTTTTATCCTTTATTTACATGTTCAGCTGCTGGGCCAGAAAAACACCTGAGTACTTGTTTCATTTGAATTAAGACGTTAATCCTATTGGAAGTTAAGTACAGATGGGAGGCACTGATTCAACCAAGTAATAAAGCTTTTCCTGGGTCAAGGTTCAGCAAATACAACCACATGGGAGAGATACAAAGCACAATCCTTCCAGCTAATCTCCCCTCATATACCTTTGCTTTGTAACTGTACTGTTTACTCAGCATCTGTTGAATACAGTTATAGACTAAAATGGCCTCCTTTAGATGTAACCATTTTGGTGTGAACATCTGATATCGTGACATGTCTCAAACCTACTTGTTAAAGTCCTGTAGCCTCAGTGAAGTTGAGAAAGACACAACATGCAATGACAAATAGTTGCATGATGAATAAAAAGTCCTTAAAAGCACCTACAAGATGAGAAATGTAAACGGATCTTGGGAAAAAATAATTCACCTTGTCTGAGCCAGTAAGGGGCAAATATCGCTCTAGTGACCTGGTTCAGATGCCACCAAAGGCAAAAACAAAACTGATTATCAATTGCAAAGTATACATCTGTATAAATGCTCTACTGAGATAGATTTAGGAATGATTATTGCTTCTTTTGCCCATGTCCCAGCGAATGCCTTACTGTTTCCTTTTCATTATTTCTTCCTCCGCTCCATATATCCTTTATTCTTAATGTTTTCTTTTTCCCTTCTTCTTTTTAACCTCATTTGCTCTTTACATGTTTTTGCTTATCTTTCTTCTCTCTCCTTCCTTTTGCATTGACACCACAGTTCTGTGTTTATTTGGACCTCAGTTTGGGCAAAAGAAGCAAAAACATTACTCTGCATCTTCCAAGAGTAGCCATCTACATATAAATGTATTTTTGTTCTGTTACAGATGACCCATATGCGACAAGAATATGAAGCCATGCTCAAAGGCCTGATGCCAGCAACTTTGAGACAGGAATTTGAAGACACCATTGTATCCTTGAAATCTCAGGTAAATTCTTATTATTCATCTTTAACTTTTTGAATCGGATAAAAACCATCTTGTCTAGACAAGAAATTCTGACTGTCTAAAACTTAGCCAAAAATACAGAATAAGTCTCAAACCCAAATCATGGCAGCACTCACATGCTTCTCAATCATCTCTCACAAGGCTTTTCTCCTCCAGTCTCCTCACCTTGAGAGCTACCACACTGCATCTTTTGATCCCAGATTTTGCCTCGGTTGGCAGTTGAAAGTAGAAATTCTGCTGTGTTCAGTATTAGGATTTTTTCTCAACCTTTCAAATACAGCCCACGGTTATCTCTCATCTTCCTTACCCTGTTTCTCCTGAAGGAATCGTTTAAAGGTTGCATGTAAAGGATGTAGAAGAGAATTGGAAATAATTTTCTTTTCTTTCCAGCCTATATAATAAAGAAAATGGGATATAGCATTTAAGATACTAGTCCAAATGATCAGTGTGTTATTTCTACATTTTCCTATATAAAGAGGCTCTAATAACCTTCTGTAATGCTTTATCTTTAATATTTAAAACACTAGCTCATCTAGAATAATGCAGAATCAATGTTATTTCTATGAAACAGACTTTTAAATTGGCTTATAGAAATACCAATATGTCATTGTGAATAGGGAGCTACTAATGAGCTGGGTGATTTTCTTGTTCATGGTTCCTGCAGAAGGTATTTGATGCTTTCCTATTCTGTATATTGGGAGCTGGAAGAAAACAAAATGTCATCATTGCCTGAACTCACGTGAGGAAGGGTAAATAGCTACAAAAAGAGGTGATCATAGGTGTGGAATAACAGTAATCCAAAGAAAACAGTGTCAGTGTTCGCGTATGGCCAAGGGCAGGGCTGTGCATTTAAATGTGCTGGGAAGGACTGGGATCTGTCCTGGGCTGCAGGGAAGAAGTGAGAGGAAGACTGGAAGTGCTGGTGACTCAGAGATGCCCATGAGCACTGGGAAGAGGGAAAGCCCTGAAGACACAGGATAGGTACCAGCACACACCTTATACCAACTGTCAGAACCAGTCTTCAACAAATTATGCATCCACAAACTCCATTTCTTATGCAATCTCTCTCCATGGACATGGTTGGGAATTTATTGTATTTGGGAGTTTTCCCCCTATAATTTTTCTTTACAGCACATAAGGGTTATTCTGTAGGGCTTCTTTCTATCCATGGGACACTTCCCCTGTGCCTTTAATAGAAGTAGGAAATATTCATAGGGGAAACATCCATATTCCCGTGTGCTGGTAGTGACACAACATCAACACTGTGGTTGTAAACCCTCTGCTTACATATCAAGGGATACCTAATGCAAATCATTCTCATTTAAATGATTGTGGGAAATAAGGAGTTAAGGATCTACTGGGGAAATCTATTTCCAGTTGATAGTAAAAAGCTATTTTTAAAGTGTGGCTGTCTATTAGCACTGTCTGGTAGGAAGTGTTACTCCGGAGCCAATGCAAGAATACCACACCTTTTAATGAGTTAGGAAGAAAAAACAGGAGAATCTGATACCCACCTGCAGGGCTTCTGTAAGCAGGAGCAGCATTTCAAAAGAGTAAAAGTAACTACACACATGAAAACCTGGGTGCTATCCCAGAAACACATTGCTGCTGGCTGTATTTCCAGTGGGATGCTGTCGGCACGGACCACTCAGTGAGCAGGGCTTGTACTGAAGCACAGGTGTCCCGGTCTTTGAAAATAGTTGGAATTCCAGTTTGAAAACAGCAGACAAGAAGGGCAGTGGAATCTCTGCACCTGTCAGGATTATTTATTGTTGGAGCAGGATGAAGAGGATGGGCTGGGTGAAAACACTGAGCAGTGATAAAAATAAAGAAGAAAATACTTGTGGCTTGGGCGAAGTGTTCTAACACCACTGCTAAATATAAAGCACGCTGCCCAATTGTCTGCTCCAGGTGAGTCCTCCAGGAGGGGCCACAGTGTATGAATAAACATTCATTCTCATACACCTGAAGTCCGGGTGAGCACATTCATCACAAGAGCAAAAGCACAGGGATCAGAGCGCGGGCATCATACTTGAGTTGACAGTAGAAGTGGAGCTCCCAAACCCTTGTATAACCCATATGGTACCACCAGCTGAGTTTAAAAACTGTTTTGCCTCTGTTTCTAAAGGAGTAGGTATAGCAGGGCCAGGGAAGCCATACTAAGTCTTCTACCAAGCAAGTCCCTGCCCATGGCAGGGGGGTTGGAACTTGATGATCTTAAGGTCCTTTCCAACCCTAACTGTTCTATGATTCTATGAATTCTAGTTTGCGGCTGAATTGCTTTTTATTTAGGCAGGGTAGACCAGAAAAACACTTTTTATGAAATGAGCCCAAATTTTGTCCATCATTTTCATGGGGGTTGTATTTTACAGGTAAATATTCTGCAGAAAAGAGTCTGTGTCCTCCAGGAAGAGCTGAACCAGGCCAGGAGGTACATGATTCTCTTTGATCAATTTGTACCATTTCACACCTGTGGATCCCAGTTATTGAAGTTTTACGGCTTAATTAAAACACTCAAATACAGTTGCAGTTTTAAAAGATCCTTATTTTCAGTAAACAAGCGTCTAAGACCTTTCCCAGTGCTTAGTCAGTACTATTAGAGCAAGATTAGAGAACTTGCAGGTGCATTACAAGTCTGGGCTTTGCCTCGACATTCATGATGAGACAGTGGCTCGGTGCACAGCTGCAGCTCTGCGGTGATGCCACCTCCTTTCAAGATAGAAAACAATGATGCAATGCATAATATTACAGATCACATCTTCAAAGTACCGGATCTTCATGAGCCTGAGCTTTTTTTCAGCCGTTTACACCCTCCAATATAAATTATGGTGAGTGCTGCAGCAATAAAAAGCCTGGCTGTGCCTTTAGAGTAAGTGATTCACATGGAGAGGTGAGTAAAAGGAAACTTCCTAGGAAAGCCACTCCATCTTTTTTATATTTACAGGCTTTGATGAAACTTTCATAGCTCACATAAAGGTCTCTTACAAAGAAGAGTGTGTGCTTGTAAAACTAGTGTAAGGATTTGTAAGATACTTAAACCTTTGTAAAAATGTTAGCAGTGTGAAAGTTGTCTGAAAGCATTAGTCCTGAACTATTTGTTAATGAGAATTAGCTAAAGCTAATTAGAAACTGAAAATATCAGAGATTCTTGGTAATATATCCAGCATAGGTAACTTTGTCAGATAAATCTGAAGCTGTAATGCATCTCTAGACTCTTTCCTTCAGCATCAGCAGCATTACCAAGGGATGCATTTTGTCTTATTCTGAATCAGTATCTTCTCAATTAGGAAAATAGCTATTTAAAAAGGTGAATAATCATGTAACATTAGAGCAGGCCAGGCCACAATGTCCTTGTGGAGGGGAAGCAGGGATGGAGCCAGCACGGCACACAGCAGCTCCTCTCCCAGTGGGGCTGTTGTGGCATTTGCTCCAAGACTTGGAGAAGCTTTTGTGCTGCTTCTGGTCATGAACATCACCTTCCTGACCAGATCTTTTCTCCAAGTCTACACTCGTATTACATTCTGTGTTACCATTTACTTCACTCTCACTCAGTGAAGAACTGCTTTTTGCTGCCTTAACACATATGCATGCCTGTGGCTGCAGATTTGATGCAGCTCCCTGTGTGCTCCTGACCCAACAGCAGTGGGGCCACGTGCAGCCCCACTGCTGGACCAAACCCTGTTGTGTTTTTATAGCTAAAATAGTAAGATATAACTAATGAGAATCTCTTGGTTTTCAGGTAGCTGCTGGAGCTGTTGGATTTCTTCGGTTGCCAAATGGACTGCTTTGAATAGGTTTGAAGATTTGGCTCTTGTAAATTCAAATGCAAAGATCAGTGGCTGTTTTGTTAGCACATAAAATGAAGTTCATGAAAACACATTCATTGCTCGTGCCAGCATGTTTTTAGTTGTATCTTCCTTCCATTATTTTTATCATCTTATTACAGACGTATGCTTTCGATGTACTGTGTGTTTGACTCCGTGCTGAGCTTGCTTACTGAGCCCTTAGAGTTTCCTTTACTAATAGTTTTGCTATTACTTCCCAGTACCGTTCTTTTCACTTTTATACATGAAGAAAATCCCATTTTCTGTTACTATTGTCCCAGATATTTTAACATATTTTGACATTGTTTTGTGTCCATGTGTTTACATAATATTAAAATATTATTATTTTGTACTATTTTGTTTTGACATTATTGTCCTGCTTGGGCATCTCACTCACCTCAGCAACCACAGTGCCCATGAGGGGTTTTTATGGCTTTGTGAACTGAGGAGATGTTTTTATGCTGTGTTTCAAGGAAAAGTATTGGATAGAGAATGAAAATACCACGATGACAAATGCAGCCACCATTGCCAGTTATATCTCTGGCTGGGGTTGCATATGCTGGTCACGGGGAAAGTTCTTTGTCATTTACTGATAATGCAGTTATGGGCTGTTATTGAAAAAGAGTCATAATTGATTCAGCCTTGGTTCTGCAGGCTCTCTTTTGGGTGATCCCTGTAAATGTAAGCAGATTTGGTTTGCAGAGATGAGCTTTGAGCAGCAGTGGAAAACTGAAGGATCCGGACAAGGAATCGTCCTTGTAGCTGGCTCTGCCTCCCAGGCATAGGAAGGCTTCCTTATCTCTTGGCCATCCATACACCAGGGTGTACATTAGTACATTTGTAATCTGTAAATTTAGATATGCTGAATACAAGAATAGCCTTTTTCTTCCCTAGGCACCATTCTGCCAGCACAGTTAATGGTCTGGGTGCTTGTGAGAGGCCACAAATTCCTGTCTTCCAAGGCCAGCCGTGGCCCTGAGACCCAGAGGGTCTCACTGCTGATGGGAACAGCCACCTCTCCTCCCTTGCCCCAGTGGCACAGTGATCCCCACAGGATTCTGAAGGTCCTGGAGTGCCTTGTGGCTGGATGTAGCTATCCCAAGTCCCAGCTCTCCAGCTGCACTCTTATCCCACCTGGCATGGAGATCAATGGGGAGAGGCTTTGGCAGGCTGAGCTCCATCCACCCCTCCACCTGACAGCGCTGGCGGGGAGCTCCTCGCCAAACACAGGCTTCAGCTTTGCTGATTGTAACCCTGTCTGAGCCTGGGCAGGTTTTCCACCTTCCTGGAATCAACAAGTGATTCTTCTCATTATAGATAAGGGGTTGTCATGGCTCTGATAAGCGAGGAGGTGCTGTGGCAGGTGCCACAAAGACCCGCCTGGGGCAACGGGGAGTTTTGGTAGGAGGAAATTGTCAGGGTGTATTTAGTTCATTGTGATCAGTAAAATGAAATGGATTTGACTGGTTGTACAAAGACCATAAGCTTCTTCATGTCACTTTTGTCTATAGTAGTTCTTAAACATTAAACTTATACAGCATTGAAAGTTATACGATGATGAAAAATGAGGAGAATGACAAGAGTTTAATTCTCTTATTGCAGATTGCCTAAGTATTCATTCTTTTGATTTCAACAAAAGCATCAAGGCCAGGTTGGACGGGGCTTGAAGCAACCTGTTCTAGTGGGAGGTGCTCCTGTCCATGGCAGGGGCTTGGAACGAGATGAGTTTTAAGGTCCCATCCAACCCAAACCATTCAATGATTCCATGATTCTACCCAGAGACGTGCAGGGCAGTGACGGTTCAGCTCCTTGGGAAGAGCACCAAGAGCTCATGCTGGGATTTACCCAGTGGTTATTGCCTGTGTCCTAATAGACATGGGAACAGTGAAATCTCTCTTCTCATGCACGAAGGAAATAAGGCATTTTTGATTCTGATATTCTGCTTGTGTGTTTGCATGATCTCCAGGTGGTTATGGTGCTTTCAGAGGTGGTAAGGGGGGTACAGCCATACAGAAAGACCTGGACCCTCTTCTACCTACTTCAGTTCAGACCCGACTTTCCTTATGTTTGATGGAATTGGGTTGCTGATGCAGTTTGAGAAAAGTAGATGTGTTGGTCAATCAGTTTTTAAACTCTCTCCTACATCAAATACGGCATGAGAACCATTTTGAAGGTGCTTGTAAACCTGATAAGAACTTAGACTCAAGGTTGGTTGCAGTTCTCTTACAGTTATTAACATTTCTTTGATCATTTTGGTACCAAGTAGTGTACAAATGGCAGGAGTAGAAATGTTTTTGTACATATTACCTGCTCTTTATCTCTCTTTTACCCTGCTAGGTAAGGAATTGCCAGTGGCTAGTAGCTGGCTTCACTGTCCACAAAACAAGCTCTGGTGAAAACAACTTGAGTATGGTTACAGCTTTATTTGTGTGTTTGATTTACTTATTTTATTGATTTTGCTTTGTTTCACTCTCTGTAAAACCCCGCAAGAAGAAGGCATCATCATAACATTTGTCACCGGTGCCGAGGGAGGTGACCCTTAGCAAGGTGACACATTATTCTAGTGCCACTCACAGTTCTTGTGTTACACGTAACAAATATGCTCGTTTCTGGTGCACTTGGAAGAAAAGGGATACAACCTCCCTCCTCCTGCCAGCCCTCTGCTTTCTGCTGCAACAGTGCTCTAATTGTGCTGGTGACAGCAGATACTCCTGGTACTTGCCCAAATCTCTGCTGACGGTGCTTTCAAACCAAGAGATGATTTTGCTGCAGAGGAAGAGATTTTATGGCCACCAGAAGAAAATATTTGCAATCACTAGAATACTTTGCAGCGTTTTATTGAATTTCCTGAAAGCCATCACAGCTTTGATTCCAGCGATGAGCAGTCTTGATGGAGACTGTACATGGGATCTGATTTATTTCCTTTAATTATCTCAATGCACTGCAAGTCCTTCCCAAATCACAGAATGTACTGGAGGCACCACGCTACTAGATTATACTTGGTCTTGTTCTGAGGGTACAAAGGAAAAGGCGTCAGATATTGCATGAAAAAGTTTCAGAACACAAGGTCACTTTAATTCAGACTTTTTTTTCCAAGGAACTATCTTTTCTAAGCTTTGATATTTTGCTCAGAAAGGTCATTTCTTTTAAGCCTTTGTCATTAAAGGAGACTTGTTCTTTAAAGCGTGCTATCAAAGGGTGCAGAAATTGCAAGTTACTGAAACTGAAACACATGATCAGTTTTAAGTCTTCCCACTACAGCCCACTTAAAGTTCGATGTGCTCTGGGACTGGTGGCTCCTTTGATGGAGCCGGTGGAAGATGTGCAGTTGGTCAACTCAAACCAAAAAAAAGATAATCAAATAACACTTTTCCTCCCTAAATTAGATCTCATTTGGTGTGAAAAAGCATTGAATGGACTGAATAAGCATCTGATCCTGCAAAAACGTGTCGTGTGTGAGAGAAGTACAGGGAGTGCGCTGTGTTTGGGAGCAGCTTGTACCACTTAGCCATAGGAATTACGCAGCTCCAGTTTGTGTTATCTGACATTTGTAATAATGTAAATAAGGCAAGTTCCTGGACAAAATATCACATATTTACCATTTGCTACCACAAGACGATCTCTCCTTCACTGACAAACATGGGAAAGAAAAGAGTGAAGATCTTGTGTCATGCCCTTGTTTGCAGCCCCTGATCCTGACCTCTGCTGATGCAGCCTTTATCCCATGAACCTGTATTATGTCAGCACATGTATCACACTTAGTCTCAGCACTTAGGATTGAAAACAAGGAAATGTGTATTTGGAGAGAGAGCGAAGTAAAGGAATACCTTTATCTCAGCTGGGCAGTTAAGTTATAGCACAATACTCCCAACTTCGTAACATCCATTAACCAGATTTATCTTGTTCTTCTCCCATTTGAAACCTGGTATCAAAGTTTAATACTGGGCAGATTTGTCCATCATTTCAAAAGAAGGTTGTGGGTCCTAATTCTGTTGGTGTTCTTATTTAAGCTAACCTAATGCTGACGTTCACTTTGTCCAGTTTTGCCCAGAAAGGCTTAAAGTTTTTATTCAAATTCTAGGCCTAGAATCCATAAGAAATCTGTCTTTCAGAGTGATCCTGAGCTGAAACTGAGGATTCAGTAACACCATCCTTGTCTCTTCACAGAGGATCAATGCTGAGAACTCCTGGAAGGTGCAGGTCATGTTTGATGAGGTTTAGTTGACAATCCATGTCTCCTTAGAGGTAGCACCTACCCAGTAAGACTCAATACTGATATAGACCTCCACCATTAGCTGTAGAACAGCTGTAATGGTGTAACTCAGCTGTTAGCATGGTTAACTTGAGGGATTTTGTCTGCAGTGGCCTGTGGATTCACAGGTGACTTCCAGAACAAGCATTTTTAGAAGAGAATTCTTCAGAAGTGGCACTTTCTCTTTAAATTCAGAGCCCACCTAAATCTCAATAAGTTTTTACAGAGTCAGGCTCTCATTCTGCATCTAAGGGTGGTGGAGAAGGAGACCAAAGAAGGCTAATGACTCCATATGGATTTTATGAACAGTCAGAGCCTGGATGTTTGTATGGCTGTGTTTAATTGTGCTCAGGAATAATGTTACATCTTCTGAGACGTATCGACACTTGCTTGTCATCTTGTTTGTTCATCCCTGTTGGATGAGCTCATTGGGTGACTAACTTCAGTATAGATTTGAATCTACAATGAAAACTGTGAATGAAAACCCTGATTTTAATCAGCTCTTCCTCATCTTCCCTGGGCTGTAGCAGATGGAATGTCACTTGTCCCAGGTTCCTGGTGGAAGGAAAGCGCAGTAGTCAGTGAAGGGATGGAGAATTGGCACTGGGAGGCAGGAGCTGCATACCATGGCACAGGACTGGTAACACTGGGTCTAACGTAAAGACCCTTGGGCATTCAGATACCTGAAACATACTGTAAATTCCAAGCTGGCACTGTATGAAATTCAAATCCTTCTCCATAGTGTGTAGCTGAGTATTGCAGCAAAATGCTTACTGTAGGGTGCTCTGAGCACTAGAAAGGATGAGTTCCTCAAGCACTTGTTTATGGAGCTCATGGTGCATTTATGGCACCAGGAACCTGTTTAGCACATGATTTGGCCACTGGGCATCCAGGCCTGATCCAGGTCCAGAGCAAACATTCAGCAACTCCATTTACCGTTAATTACTGCTCATAATAGAGCTGAATATTACAGCTGAAATTGTCAGTGACTTCTGCTGAGGAGCTCATGGTGTGTTGGACTGTCCCCCTCTTACAGAGCAGAGTGAGCACGCCAGTCAAAGGTGGTTATGGAGACATTTCTGAAAGTCCTCAAAGCAGGTGGTGTGAATTTATCCACACTCATATTGTGTTATTTCAACTCTAAGTGGAAATAACACAAAATCAAGTGGTTGCCCTTGAAATAATTTGAGAAACATCTTCCATTTTTAATGCTGTTTGTGGCAGCATCTGAACAAGTGCAAAACAATAAGGACCTACCAGACTGCAGACAAAAAGCAGGAGGACAAACCAGTCAGTTCTGTGCAGGGCACATCCCACCTGAAGCTTTGGCCTTACTTCAATAAAGCCCATGTGCAAACACTTAACCTTAACCCTGCACTTAACTCCAGGCCTATCCCCATGCCTGCGTGTGCTAATAAACCTTCTGGGGGTTTCAGGCTCACAGCTGGGTTTGATGAGTAGCTTCTGCCTTTAGTGCAGTTTATACCTGAGCTAGTTTATGCTGCCACTTACCTTCCTCAGAGCTAAGGCAGTCCTCTAAGGAGCTGAATTCTGCATATAGAATTATTTAGGTTGGAAAAGATCTTTAAAATTATTGAGTCCGACCACATCTTTACCTTCAGCACTCCAGGAGCTTTGCATCCAGCCCTCTGCATCAGCATCTCCAGCGTTGCTGTAGAAAGGATCATGGGAGCATCTTGTATGCACAGAACAATGGAACATCTTACACTGCAGTGAGTTGATGGGGTTTTATAATGGTAGAAGCAGCATTTTGTGTGGAGCGGGTTTGTGTTTTGGTAGGACATGGTGATGTGTTGGTGGAATCAAGTTATTTAACCTTTCTGATGGATCTAGTAAAGGCTGTACGCTATGTTCCTTCCTATATATCTAGTGGGAGTTGGTATTTTTCTCTCCAGGCAATGCTAAACTGTACCAGTGTGCTTCATTCTATCTTTGCAGAGGAATTGCCTCTGCAGTATACATGTGGGTTTTTGGAAATGGTGGCTGTGGTTATATTAAATCTATAGAGCAGCATGGGAGGTGCTTGGGGGAGGAGGGACTCATAGTCCTTTGTCTGCAAGTGCTGTTGTTACAGAAGATGCTGGGTTTGGCCAGATAGTCACTGTAAGGTACATTGTTGTTGTAAGGAAGAGAGTGGGAAATGCTAAGCTTAAACTGAAACAGTGTTTCTAAATTCATGTGACTGCTTAGAAACTTTCTGATTGATGTGTGCAGCTCTCTGGATCTACAGACCTTTATTTCTCTTTTTCATATGGTGACCATTTCTAAGTAAACTTACATGTACTCATATGAGTGCTAGCTGTGAAATAGCTGCATGGGTGCT